TTGCATTCTTCTATATAGCTTCCTTCCATCCCTCTCTCATTCCTTCCTTCCTTCCCTGTTTTTCATGGCTTTATCTGTAATGTTAACCATTTTCTTTTCTTTTATGGCTAAATGGTATTATACCATCGGTATGTACACACTGCTTATGCATTCACTCATTGATGGACATTTAGATATTTCCCATATTTTGCTTAGTGTATATACTGTTGCCATGAGTTTTCATATACATTTATTTTTTGAGCACTGACTTGCAATTATCTAGAAAAATTTGCCTAGGAGTGAAACTGGTAGATCACATGATAATTACGTTTGATTATTTTTGAAACTGCCAGGTTTTTCACAGTGACTGACATATATTATATTCACTACATTGTGCCAGATTATAGGATTCCTGCTATTACTTGTTATATTTGCTGTTTTGTAAATTATAGCCTCTTCTTTTTATGTAAAGTGGCATAGCATTGTACCTTACTTTAATTCTTTTTATTAGTTATACAGATTAATTGTGGCCTATTTGTGCATAACATACTTTAATAGTTTTCCCACCTATGACACTCATGCTATACTGTATCCCTAGTTTCACATATGGAGTATGTCAAGTAGGGCTATTTTCACTGTTTGTTCTTCCTACCTAGCAGCAAGGGATGTCTTTCCATTTTCTGGTATCCTCTTCAGTCTCTTTTTTCACTTGGTATTGTTTTGGGAGTAGAGGTCTTTCCTTCCTTTCATTTGGTTTATTCCTAGGTATTTCATTTTTTTGGTTGTAATTGCAAAGGGAGCTGTTTTTCCAGTTTACAGTGAGTCTGTATTCAGGTTTAAGTAAGGTATTGATTTTTGTGTTTTGACCTTGTGTCCTGGTGCACTACTGAATTTGGTTATGAAGTGTAGAAGACTTTTGGTGGAGTTCTAGGTATCTTCTATATGGAGTATCATGTGGTCTATAAATAATGACAATTTGAGTTCATTGTTTCATATATCTATTTATGTTCTTTCTCTTGTCTAATCATTGTGACTAATGTTTCCAAAACTATATTGAATAGGAGTGGTGATAGTGGACATCTTTGACTTCTTCCTGATTTTACTGTGAAGAATTTCAGTTTTTGTCCATTTAGTATCATATTGGCTGTTGGTTTTTGATAGATTGGTTTTATCAGGTTGGGGTACAGGCATTCTATTCCATTTTTGTAGGTTTTTTAATCATGAATGCTTGTTTGATTTTGTCAAACAATTTTTCTGCACCTGTTGAGATAATCATATGGTTTTTGTCCTGACACTATTAATATAGTGTATTATATTTATTGATTTGCATATGTTGAACCATCCCCCCATCCCTGGGATGAATCCCACTTGGTCAATGTGTATGCTCTTCTTGATGGTCTTCTGCATTCTCTTTGCCAGTATGTTGTTGAAGATTTTACATTTATTTTTATTGGTGTGATTGGCCTCTACTTCTTTTTCAGTTGGGACTTTCTCTGCTTTTGTGGTAAAGGTGATGCTTTCTTCCAGGTATGAATTTGGGAGTATTGATTCACTTTCAATTTCACTGAAGAGTTTAAACAGTACTGGCAATAATTATTCTCTAAATGTCTTTTAGAATACAGCAGTGAAGCTATCAGGACCTGGGCTTTTCTTAGTTGATAAGTTTTTAAATATGTTTTCAATTTCATTTATTGATATTTGATTGTTTAGAATGTTTAGGTATTCTTTTTCAACTTTGGTAATTCATACATATCTAACAATTATTCCATTTCCTCTGTTTTTCCATCTTACTGGCATAGAGCTTCTCAAAGTAGTGCTTTTGATCCTCTGAGTTTCTGCTGAATCCATTGTAATTTCATCCTTTTCATTCCTATTGCTTGAATTTGCATCTCTTCTTTCCTGTTTTTGATAAGGTTGGCTACGTTTTTTTATTTTGCATATTCTTTCAAAGTACCAAATCTTTGCTTCATTAATATTTTGTTTCATTCTCTTAGTCTCCATTGCATTCATTTGTGTTCTGATCTTTATAATTTCCCTCCTTGTATGAGATTTTGGTTTGTCTTGCTCTTCTTTTTCTAGATGCTTGAGTTTCACCATCAGGTTGTTTATTTGGGCTTGCTTTTTGTAATATGAGTATTCTGTGCTATTAATATTTCTCATAAGACTACTCACATTGTGGCCAATAGATTCCAATATGTTGTATTTACATTTTCATTTAATTGAAGAAACTCTTATTTTTTCTTCAATTTTTCTGTGACCCATTTGTTATTCAGAAGTGTGCTGTTCAATTTCCATGTGTTATGTAATTCTTGCAGTTTCTTTGGTTATTGATCTCCAATTTCTTCACACTATGGTCTTATAATATACAGGGGATACCTTCAATTCCATTGCACTTACTTAAACATGTTCTGTGAACTAGCATGTGGTCTACTTTGGAGAAGGACCTGTGTACAGCTGAAAAGAAAGTGCCTTCTGATTTCGTGGGTGGGACACCATAAGCACCTGTTAAATTCATGTGTTCAGGAGTTTGATTGAGTGCAGTATTTCATTATTTTCTGTTTAGTAGATGTATCTATTTGTGACGGTGGACTGTTAAATTCCCTGACTATTGTATTAGTGTGTACTTAATTTTTCATGTCTGTTTGTATTTGTTTCCTTTTGGGGGTGCACTAGTATTTGGCACATAGATATTTATGATTGTCATCCCTTCCTCTTGGATTGTTCCTTTTACAAGGATGTAGTGGCCTTCTTTGTCTCTCTTAATCAGTGTTCATTTGAAATCCACTTGATCTGCAAAGAGGTTAGTCACTCCTGATTTTTTTCAGTTTCCTATCACATGGAGTATGGTTTTCCACCCTTTAACTTTCAGTCTATGAGTTTCTCTTTTTACAAAATGTGTTTTTTGTACGCGGCATATTGTTGGATTTTGCTTCTTGAACCATTCTGCCAGTGTATTTCTTTGATTGGTGAAATGATACCATTAACATTGATGGTTATAACAGACATGTATTCACTAATCCTTGCCATGATTCTTTTTTAATCTCTCATTTTGCATTTAATTTTTTCACATCCCCAATAGATTCATTCTTCTGGGCTTCTAGGGGTGATGATCTCATTATCTTTTCCTAGGGTATTGTTTAAAATTTTTGTAGTGCTGGTTTGGTATTCATGAAGTTTATCAACTGCTCTTTTTTATGCAAGTATCATGCCTCCATCAATTTTTAAAGATAATTTTGCACGGTACATAAATCTGGGTTGGAGGTTGTTTTCCTTTAGAATTTGAAATCTTTCACTGCAGACTCTTCTTGACTTGAGGGTTTCTGTTGAGGTGATTCTGATGGTCTCTCCTTTCTATGTGATTTTTTTTTCTTTTCTCTAACTGCTTGTAGAAGTTTGTTCTTCTGTTGGGTTTCTGGAATCTTAACTATTATATGCCTATGTGTAGATTTTTTTTGATCAAGGCTATTTGGATTCCTATATGTATCACTTATCTGTATTCCAAGTTCTTTTCCCCTGCTTGGGAAGTTTTCTGCCATCACTTCTGTGAACAGTTTTTTTATGTCATCTGCACTCTCTCCTGTTTCTTCATTGACTCCAATCAGTCTTATTTTATTTTTTTATTAACCTTAAACATTTATTGACTGATAGAGAAAATGAACCATTTCTACAGCCCATCACTTAAAAACCTAAGCATGCAAAATTTGCTTGGTTGTATTGCATGTGGTGTATGCGATGGGACTAGTGTGCTGGCCAGGGCAGAAGCTGTGGAGAAGGGTGGCCATGGGGCTGAAGGGCACAGGAAATAAAGTGGAGGGAGATATGGGAGAGAGTGCTGGGTGTGGGCTGGACAGAAGTGAACATCTCACACCTGAGCCTCTGTATGTGGTGAGTCCAGGTGCAAGACCCAAGGCAGAGCCTGGTAAGCTGGGTGCCACACACCAGGGCTTGGGGTGGGGTGGGTGCAGGGCATTGACTAGGGCTGGAAGAGGCATCAGCGGGTCCTGCAGGGTTGCCTACCAGGGCCGAGGGGCTGGGGCTCAGGGTCTAGGACAGAGGCCTGGGGTCAGAGTCTAGGACGGGGGACTGGGGCTCAGGGTCTAGGATAGGGGCTTGGGCTCAGGCTCAGGATCTAGCATGGGGGGCTTGGGCTCAGGCTCAGGATCTAGCATGGGGGGCTCGGGCTCCAGCTCAGGATCTGGCATGGGGGCCAGGAGCAGAGGGCACAGTTGAGAGCTGGAGGACAACAGGAGCACCTGTGTGTGTAAGCTGGAGGCCTGGCCCAAGGGACAGCTTTGGGGCCACCTCCAGATTGGAGCACTTCGGGTTGGGCCCCCCACTGCAGCCCAGGGGGCTGAGCTGCCTGGGTCCTGGACCCTCACCGGGGGACAGTAGGTGGTGTCCCTGACCAGAGCTGGAGAGGGTGGGGAGGATTGGGGTCCCCAGGAATGAGGAAGTGTGCTGTGGCCCAGGGCAGTCGGGTGCCTGCCGCATGTGTAGGGATTAAAGCTAGAGGTGGCCCTACACCAATCTACAGGCACCGAGGCAGCCAGCAGTGGATGCCCCGTCCAGATACCACCACCCCAGGGCATCCACACGTGAGCCCAAGGGTTGAGATAGGGATGTGGCGTGGGCCCCAGGCATGAGTGGAGGGCGTGGGGAGGCCCCAGGACTCCCCGACACAGGGTGGAGTCTGTTACTGGCTGGCAGGTGCAGTGGCCCCACACAGAGCCCCGGCCAGGCCAGGGGTCAGGACAGCCCCAGCACACATGGGAGACCTCGGCCGCTTCCTCTTTGGGTGCTTCCGTGCCCATGTTCATGCTGTCGAGTCTTCCAAGCCTTAGGGGGTCCTTGGGTGGCTCCTTGGTATCAGCTGGGTGGGGTGAGGATGCCATCAGTAATCCCAGCAGTCTAGGAGGCTGAGGCAGGAGGGTTGCAACTTTGAGTTCCATGAGCAATTTAGTGACTTCAAAAGACTCTGCTCGGTTTTCCCGGAATGATTCTCTCCAGCAAAGTCTGGGAACACTTGAGGTTTAGGCAACAGCAGCTGAAATGCTCTCCGAGGATGTCTCAGCTTCTGCAGGCCTGGTTGGGTCACAGGGCAGGTTGCTCGCACCCGAGCTGCATGGTGTCCTGGTCACGGCTGATCCCAGCCCCTCCAATCAGGCTTATATTATTCTCCTTTGCATCATGTAGTACCTGCTGGATTGATTCTCATGGTCCCTTGGAATTCTAAAGAAATTTTTCTTTTCCTGGTCACTATTGAAAGTTTGACTTCTATATGTGAAATTCTGTCCCCACACTGGCTCACTCTGCAGCATCAATTTTCAATGAATTATTTCTTCTGCTGTGGTTTTGTTGAGGTGTTTTTGCTCACACAGTGGTCTTCGATTTTCTGCAAGCCACCCTGAAGCCTTATTTCTGTTGCTTTCCCTGATGGCATCAGGGTGGCTTGTGGGGTTCTGGCTGATGCTTGTGCCACTGTGCAGCTCTTTTCCAGGTGGGCCTTTGCCTGGCCCTGTGGGTCCCAGCTGCTGGGATGGGGAAAGGACCCTGGGTAAGACCTGGCCAAAACCACGCTCCTCTGGTCCCTGTGGGCTTCTCCCTCATATCAGTAGACACTTCATGATGGTGTCAGGGCAGGCCTCTGGCTGTTCCTTGTGATTCTGTGCACTTCTTTCAGGGGACAATGTGCAATCTTTTAAAAATACTGTTAATAGCCTCAATATTAGTTCTTCTATATGTTAGATCCATATTACAATTTTCATGTTAGGAAATGTTAGGAGTAGGCATCACCACAAGAAAAACTTTGCCATCTATTCTGGGAATGAAATAGTGCAGTCTTATTTGTGCACAAGGTAGTTGTACCATGTTAGGTGTAATTATGAACTTGTTATTATATTTGGAGATTAAGTAAGGTTTAAGCAAATGTGTCTAGTTGTCAAGTTGATAAGGCATGGGTTGTGATAGTTATCTGCGGTGTCAACTTGAATGAGAAATATCCAGCTGATTGGTTTAGCATTGTTGTGATTTTGTCTCAGTGGTGGACTTAATGCAGAGGGAAGTCTCATTCTGGGAAAGAAGGAATTCTTGTTTCTGTTTCTTCAGAGAAGCTTCAGTCTTTTCCAACACCTTTAGACATCCATCTCCAGGCTTCCAGAGCAGACTCTTAGTGTTGCAACACAGACCTTTCAGCTTCCTAATAATGACTTGCTTGGACCTCTGCAGTGAGCATGAGGTCTTCAATTTTGACAGAATTCTTCAGATTTCCAGAGTGCAGAAGGCCATTTTGCCTTCCTCAGAACCTCACTCTGCAGACAGCTATTGTAAGTTTACCTTTTAAACATATATATATATATTTATATATATGTATGTATAGATATATAATCTTCTATTAAATCTCTTTTTCTAGTGAACACTGATACAAACTTGGACATCTATGGTGCATTAGCAACTAGGAAAATTCATAGAATCAATAAGTATTAATAAACTTCATAAATTATAGAGATGTATAGTGGAAATATATTTTGGAACAGTATTATCCTTTACTAGTTTTGAAGAAACAAGTCACTGCAGGGGAAATTTGTTGCATTTGGCTTGATGGAAGAACTATCTTTGTAAAAGAGAAACTAGAGTGCTTCTTCAGACTGTGTAGCAAGGAGAAGCAAGTAGGTTCTTTGTAAGTAAGCACCCCATGTAGAGAAAGTTTTTCCAAAGTGCTAGGTCCTTTCAATGATTTATTTCATGGTCACAGAGAATCATGGTGGCAGTTTGATGCATTGGAAGCTGTGCTGGAGATCTGTGTAATGTCTCCAGTTTCTTGTGCTTGGAGTCTAGAGTCCTTCAAAAAATGCCCAATGATCCTTAGTTCCTATTGTTCACATCCTTGTATAATCTCCTCCTTCTTGACTATGGGCTGCACTTAGTGATAGTTTGCAATGAAGAGAACACTGAGACTTCAGATCCGAAAAACTTCTCCAAAAATTTTATGTATTGAAGGCTTGGCCCTCAGGATGGTTCTATTGGGAGGTAATGGAACTTTGAAGAGGTGGAGCCTAGTGCGAGGTCTTCAGGTCACTGGACGAAAGATCCTTGAGAGGATCTGTGGGAACCCATCTCTTCCAACTTCCACGTTATAATCTCCCTTCCAAGGGGGAACAAATTGAAGAAGCCAATAACACATGAGACCTGACGCCTGTGAAAAGCCACGTGAGTTTGGTTGCAAGTAGATTCTCTTCCAGGGAAGCCCTGAGATGAGTTTAGTCTGGCTTTGATTGGAACCAACTGAAAGGAACCTGTGGATTTCAGTGAAGTATAAAGTTATCAAATATGTAAAAATCAATGCTTTTACAATATTCTAACCTAATCAATCAGATAAAGAAAGTGCAAACTAGATTTTCATTCAAAGTAGTGTGAAACATTAAATCTCCAACCTATCAACCTATCAACAAGAAAGACATATTGGAAGGATAACAAGAATTTGTCCTTAGAAAAAAATAATCAGACAATTGAATATGCTATCTGATTCTTGATAAAAACATAATTCTCAAATTTCTTGATAATTTGAATGCTTTAATGATATTGAACTCATATTTTCTTTTGAAAACGTTTTATTTATTTGTGTATGTTTGAA